TAACGTGCGGTGCAGATGACGGTGTGTCGTCGCTTATGGGTCAAGCGATGGAAAGGATGGTTAACCTTGGCCTGTCTTTACTAAAGAAAAAAAAACATCAAATAAAAGATTAATGGTAATCACTACGACAGTTACGAGAATGGCTAGATCCGTGTTTAAGCCAAAGATATCCGAAGAGCGTATTTCATCTGGGAGAGCTTTGCTATGGGATTGTTCTGACAGGTAAAAAGCACAGCGAATCTCGGTATTCTAGTGACGGAGAAAACCGAGATCTGGTGTGTTTTTCACCTGACAATTCCATAGCGATTTCATCTCAAAGCTCTCCCAGATGAAAGACGCTCTTCGGATATCTTTTGCGTACACGTGTTGGATGTAGCCATTCTCGTAGCTGCCGGAGTAATTACTATTAATCTTTTTTTCTTATGAGCGAAAGCGAATCCTCGATTGGATAAATGCTTCGAGTCATGAAAAATCCTCTAAGCACTTGGACAGTCATGATCCCAATTCATGCGATTTAATTAAATATTGTACTTAACAAAAGATATATTCAGTCAAGACTACTAGAAATTTTTTTTTGACAATCACGAACTTGATCAAAAGGCATTGAACGATTAAAATATTAATTTATGAAACTGACTGTTTAGTTAAGTTTAAGAACTAATTACACACCATTGAAAAATTTCTAAATACAATGTCACCTAAAACACTCTAATAGTTCGTGTGAACTTGTTAATACTTGTAGCGTATTCACTGCAAATAATTTGAAAACTAAGTTTAGAGAAAGAGATCAAATTATCAATAAGACGAAGTAGGGTGCTTTTTCCTTGAAAACTTTGGTGCTTCAAGAGACTTGGGACTGAATTTCCAACCGTTTCACCCAGAACTAACATGTCTAGATAGAGTGGCGTTCTGTGTTTAAATTACCTTGTTTTATCAAGTGGCTCTATAAAAGTTCAAGTGGATTTTCCAATAAACGTGTGTCAGTACATCGAATGTAAAATTGAACATTCTCATTTGAGTGCGGCTTTTACCATTATTGCGGGCTTTCTATTACCATTTTGCTGTAAATATATACGAGTTTATACATTTATTTTAGTGAATACATAAAATAATAGCCTAACTAGCTCGGATCACCATAGTTTAAAAATATTCTTTATCGTAATAAATTTAATATACGAAATTAAGATACCTGTAGGAACGATTTGTAAGATATTGATTCAACTTAATATATTTTATCTTTAGACAAATAATATAAAAATCTCATATCAATTTATTACATTGGGATGGATTTAGGCACGATTTCAAAGTCAAAAGGGCAAACACTAACTAATTACAAAGGACTGGTGTAACTATATTTTTAAAAGTCATAATTTCCGACGACTTTAAAAGAATCGACTCAAAGGTAATGGAAATACTCAAGATGTACATAACAGTTCGATACTAACAACATTTCTTGTAAATATCTTATCATTTTTTCAAAAGCTGATATTGTATTTAGTGTCTCCTACAAATGCTTCCCACTCATAGCCACATTATGCTGTCCATAATAATGAATATTAACAAAAAAAAAAAAATAAAATATATATATATATATATATATATTTATATTTCTTCTATTTGGTGGTGTTCTATGACTTTCCCATGTTTCCATAATCGACACTTTAAATAATTGCTCAAGAAATGCAGTACAGTGTTAATTCAGTTTTATTTTTAGTATTTCATTGTAATATTTATCTCAACCCAAATTAAAATAGTAAATATTTCATTTCAACCAAGCCAGTAAATGTTTGTAGCACATATTTCCCCCTCAAATTGCAACTCAAATATTAACAACAATTAAATTATCCAGCTGATCATAATGTAAACAAAAATATGTTCTTCATAAGAATAACATGGGGACTTTAAAAGCCACTTAAAAAAAATTTAAGGTCAACTTGCAAATCTAAACACCTAGACTAACATTTTGGTATATTATACGAGGGGTTCAATCTTAAAACAAACTTTATTGTTCAAAAAAGTTTCATGTAGCGTAATACTAATATAGATGCCACCTACAAAATTTACTTCACAATTATTTGTTGAACATTTTGAACAGTATCTGAAATATACTTCTTTAACGTTAGCCCTAATAGGAATGGAATTTCCACATAAAAAATTCCAGCAGCAAGATAACAGTTTTCGAGAAAAATTGAAATTATTAAACCGTTCAACAATTTCTTGTTAAAATATTCAGATGAATGTGTATTTTACTCCCACGCAATGTGAATAAATAAGTAATTTCATCACTAAAGCGTAAAGTGACTCTTTTCAATACTTTTTGCCCGTGTGATGAACTATTATATTTTTGTCATATTGTAACAATATTAACAATCTAAGTTATGACAAGAAAACACGTATCATGTAAAGATAACCTCTCAAAACAACTTCCAACATGTTTTCAATATTGTTAGAGCAAATAAGCAGCTGTTTAGTATGTGATTCAATCATTCCGTCTATTACGATTGTGTTAGTGAACATTATACATTATAACAGATATGTTAAAATATTGACAAAAATGCAGTGATAAGCTACAACCAATGTAATCATTCGTTCATAATTTCGATATATGCGATTGAGTACAATCGAAGTTAACTACAATCGAAGGTAACTTTTACTCCCTAGGGACTAAAAAGGCTTTTTAAAGCATAGGGAGTAAAAGTCAGCTATTGCAAACTCAGATAATCTTCGATCGTAAGTAGTCGCATGTTTTGAAACTATGTATCTATTGATTTATTCTCTTGTAGCTTAATGTTATATTCTCGTCAAAACAGTTTTGTTTAGACATATCGATAGCATAATGTACATTGTACACCAACACAATCGTAACAGACGAAATGATTCAATCACTTACTGAACAGCTGCTTATTTGCATAAGCTAAATTTTAAACGAATTGAAAGTTGTTTTGTGAAGTGAAAAGTATTTTAGTTTTCTAACTTAGATTGTTGAATAATGTTGCAACATGACGAAAAAATATAGTTCATCACATGGGATAAAAGTGTATTTTCAACCCTTGATCATTTTCAGAAAACTTGGGCTCGGGTCGAAAAGAGTCACTTTATTCTCTAGTAATTAAATAAACTATTTCTCTTAACACTTTTCAAAAATGTTATTCCTAAGAATGCAAAGATACACTAGTAAATGTTGAAGTAAAGAGGAGTAAATACTTTAGAATTGTTTCCATAAGAAAAAATTACAAAAGAATAATTATTGTAGATAGTGTAATAAATCAAGTAAAAGCCTGCAGACCGAAAAGATTGAACAGTTTAAAAATGATTAAACGTATTAAGTAGTATATAGTGGTAATTCGAAAGCAACGCTGGGCTAATGTCATCACAATAACGTACATATTTTCTAAAATGCACTTAACAACGTTTAATTTCAGTTAAATAGTTCTCGTCATCAGCTATTTAAAATAAACTTCCCGCCATCAGCCATAAACTGTGTTAAGTCCATCGTAATCAAAACCAATCAGCACTTCATCATTCAAGCGATCATACGTCATTTCAATTTACTAATACCAGTGGTACAAATCGGCATGATAAATACTGCATTCATGTAAAAGTGTTTATAATGAATTTACAATCTCTTTGTTTGTGTTTCCCTACAAATTCCTTTTGAGAATGGATTCAAATAGACTAATGGATAAAGTTTTGACGTTGATGGAATGGTTTAGCGACTAGCCGCATCTCCGACCTACGTAATCCAGTTTGATCCTTGGTCAAAATAACCCTGGGATAATAGGGTTACCAGTTAAATGAAACACATATGTAAACTGAACATGTTATAATCTTAAGATGGTTTTTGTGGCCACAAGATTCCAAATATACTTTGCAACCCGGGCCGGTCTATAAAATATGGGGAAACGTGTTGTTCGTTAACATTATTATATTCAGATTTCTTTATATTGATGTGTCTTGCTTCCAACGGTTGTGAAAGCTGTAAAACTAATTTCTTAAGGAAACTGTCCAGCCCTGATCTTGTAATCGAACGACGGCCTGTTGTCAGAAATATTTATTTACTGTGGAAAATTGGCATTGGCCACTAGATCCAGACTTGGACCATTTTGGGATAAAATCAGAAAACTGCAGACTTGATAGTGAGCACAACCAATAGAATAATTATTCCCCTCTGAACCTCAAATTTCAGTGTATAACATCAATTATAAAGATGACACATTACAGTGTGAATTTATTTCTCTTCTAAAATGCTTTATTATTTCTTTCTGTAGTTTAGGTGATATAGTTTATTATTTATTGTTCTATTTCTTATACAAGAATATTATTCACACATCTTGCTTCAACAAACTCTATTTTCAAACTAAAACAATGTTTACAAAAACATCTGACAACAAACATATTTAAACACATGATGAAAAGAACAGACTTAATACAACATCCCGCTTCAAGATGTCCACATCTTTATGAACCTCAGTACCGCCTCGGTTTCTTAATGGACCTCCCGTAACGGGTTACTGTGCCAGCTCCTGGACGATCACGTGAGTTGCATGGACGATTAAGGACCATGGATGAACAGTTTGAAAGAATTCCATCTCCTCCGTAGTACGGTGCAGGAACTAAGAACTTCCTGTTTCGGCGAATAGTTCTCTTGTCAGTTTCCACAAGGTAGGAACGTGGTTCGTTCAATTTCCTGACTACCTTACCGTGTCGACGTAGATCTGTGATCCATACCATGCTTCCAACTTCTAATTTACTTAAACCACTCGCTCCATGTCGTTTATCAAATTGTATCTTGTACTTATTCTGGTACTTATTCTCCCTCTCAAGAAAATTCTTATTTTCCACAGGATTTCCAACCAAAGTAGATGGAAGATTGTCTCTTAATTTCCTTCCAAACATAAGTTCAGATGGGGAAAAGCCGGTTTCAAGAGGTGAGGTCCGGTAAGAAAGTAGGGCAAGTTCAAATTTATCCTTGTTTTTCTTCATTAGCCCTTTTGCTACTTTCACAGCTGCTTCAGCTGCCCCATTTCCCTGATGGTGGTGGGGACTACTTCTGAATGTGGAGAACCCCCACTCCTTTGCAAACAATTTAAATTCACTTGAGTCAATATGGTGAAATTGTGTCCCACTATCTGAATAAACACGTTGAGGAATTCCAAAACGTGAAAATGTGGTTTTGCAAACCCGATCACATCTGAAGCCCTCATTCGATGCATTTCCTCGACTTCAAAGTATCTTGAGTAGTCATCCACGATAACCATATACCACTTGTCTTCGTGTTTGAACAAGTCAACAGACACATTTTGCCACGGGTAATCCGGGACAGTTCTCGGAATCAATGGTTCACTGTGATTAGTTGAGTTCTGAATACACACTGGACACGATTTGATTTTCCTTTCTATTTCTTGAGAAATTCCAGGCCACCACATGGTTCCCAAAGCACGTTTCCTTGTTTTTGTGATTCCCAAGTGTCCACTGTGAAGCCTCTCGAGCATTTCCGCTCGTAGTTCTTGAGGTATTATCATCCGAGTTCCTCGAAGCAATAGCCCATCAATACAACTTAACTCGTCTTTCACATTAAAGTACTCTTGAATCTCATTAGGTAAACTTGATTTTACAGGCCATTCGTCTAAAATTTGTAACTTAAGTTGTGCACAGATTGGATCTCTCATTTGTGAGTGAAGTACCTTTGTCACATTTTCATCTGTAGTGTTTATACTAATCAGACTGATTTCGTGGACGAAGGCTTCCACTTCTTCGGTCAATTCGCCATCTTCGTCAGCCGGAATAGGACTTCTTGATAGTAGATCTGCTATGGCAAGGTCTTTTCCTGGGGTCCAGGTCATGCGATAATCGTATCTCATCATACGCATTCGGAACCGCTGTAGCCTCGGTGAGAGCTCGTCCAAATTTTGTGTTTTGAAAATTGAGATAAGCGGTTTGTGGTCGGTCTCAATTGTGTACATTTTACCCATCAGGAAACATTTCAAACGGTCACTTGCCCATGTGCACGCAAGCGCTTCTCTCTCAATGTTACTGTAGTTTTCTTCAGCTGGCGTTAGAGTCCGAGATATATATGCCACAGGTTTCTTGTTTTCTCCTTCAACTTGAAGTAAAACCGCTCCAAGACCTTTTTTTGAAGCATCGCAAGAAAGAATCGAGGGTTTTTGCGGATCGTAAACAGTCAAACATGGCTCTGATGATAAAATCTGTTTTACTGTGACAAAAGCGTTTTCTTGAGCTGGTCCCCAAAAGAAATCGTTTTTAGTCTTTAACAAGCTCGTAATTGGCTCCAAAATCTCACTGCGGTTCGGAATAAATTTTGCCAGAAAAGTGATCATGCCTATGAATCTTTGTACTTCATTAGCGTTTCTTGGAGCTGGTAGGTCCACAATCGCTTGTACCTTGCTTGGATCAGGCTTGATTCCGTCCTTAGACAGCACAAACCCCAGAAATGTCACAGTCTTCTTGCAGAACTCCGACTTCTGCTTATTCAAGGTGATTCCATTAGCTTGCACTCTCTCTAGAACGGCCCTAAGACACTCGTCGTGTTCTTCTTTCGTTCTTCCCCATATCAGACAGTCGTCAATGTGCACTAAACAGTTCTTTGCCCCTTTTAAAGCTTTTGACATGCGGCGCTGAAACTCTTCAGGAGCGGACGTAATTCCAAAAGGTAACTTACGGAATTTATACCTCCCAAAAGGGGTGATAAATGTTGTGTAATCTTGTGACTCCTCTGCAAGGTTCAGTTGCCAGAACCCGGAATTCGCATCGATCTTGCTGAAGTACTTGGCTCCCGCGATCTCGGCCAATGAAAGTTCGATCTTTGGGATAGGATAAAACCGACGTTTCACACTGTTGTTGAGTTTGGATAGGTCTACGCAGATCCTAACCCCACCTCCCTTTTTTGCGCAAACTACCATTGGTGCGCACCAATCAGTCGCGTGTTCAACTGGAACAATCACCCCTTTCTCAAGCATATCGTCTAACTGCACTTTCACCTTGGTTTTTAAAGGTATTGGTACAACCCTGGGGGTGGATATAGCGTAAGGAACTGCATTCTCCTTCATTTCAATCTTGTACTCTCCTTTCATATTTCCCAGCCCTTGAAATAAATTAGGATACTTAGTAGCCCAGTCAATATCATGTGAATCTACAGAAAAAATTCTCCTCACCAGGTTCAGCTCTTCACAGGAACGTCTGCTAAGAAGTGGAACAGTGATCTCCTCAGAAATATACGCAAGATCATAAACTGATACACCCTTATGTTCAAGCTTTAGCCTTAAAGTTCCCAAAATATTGATTCGTTCTTTCTTCTTTGCGCTAAACACAGGGGATTTGCACTTTCCTAGAGGCAGAGTCTTAATAAAATCACCAAGAACTCCTACTGGAATCATGGTTACATCAGCTGCTGTGTCAAGTTTAAATTTTATAAGACCTAAATCTTGGTTTCCACAGCTTGCTTTTACCTCCTGGACCCAGGCTTTGTCACTGCTGTCTATATTCCCTATGAAAATCTCAGGAACCTGTTGATAACCACTGTCTGAATCTTGCTGTTCGATTTCCTTAACAACGTTTTTGTTTTTTCTCATCCACTTTTCGCGGAAGGGACAACATCGAAAAAAATGTCCAATCTCGGAACATTTGTCACATTTGGCTTTCCTAGCAGGGCATTCGGCCAGTGATCCGTGCCAGTTATAACCACATTTCCTGCACTTTTTTCTCATAGCATCCTCGGTGAATTTCTGTTCACCAGCTCTTTCAGACAGATTTGTTTTACCAACTTGTATTGACGTTTGATTCACCATAAAAACATTAGTATTGGCGAGCTCACGTTTTTGGCGTTCTAGCTCCTCGTGTTGGCGCAAGGTATTAATCGCCTTCTCCAGAGTCAATTGAGAGTCCAGCTGGAGTCTATCACTTAGAGCCTCATCTTTCATACCAATAATGAGGACCAGAAGCACCATCTCATCGTTCAGTTCACCCCATGCACACGTTTTTGCAAGACCATGCAAATCTGTTATGAATTTTTCAGATGGATCACTCCCTTGCTTGTGTCTCAGAAATTTTGTTCTCTCATAAATGATATTTCGTCTTGGCACAAAGTATGCATCAAAGGCCCGAAGAGCCTCGTCATAAGTATTCGGTTTTGGTGAAAACGAATCGAAAATATCTTCACTCCTACTACCCATTGTAAACAAAAGTACATCGATTTGCCGAGCGTCGGAAGTGCTATCTAGACCGCACCCCCGTCTGTACCTTTGAAAGCGATTCCTCCAGGAATGCCACTCATTCGGAGTAAAAGAGAAGGTATCTGGAGTTGGTAACGTCAGATTTATCATAGGAGTAGGAGTACACATTACTGCATTATTTTCTCGGTTTGTCTGTCCCAATGCAAAACCTAGTGACTCACCTTCAGTCTTTCTAGAATCCCTTTCTGACATGTAGTTGAATTCACTTTGGGCATCCTCCTCATTGTCCTCATACCTTTGCCTACGAGTATTTCGTTTTTTTCTGCCCTTACTTGACATCATGCGTGGTTTTAGACTTTGTTCGATAAAAAATCCACTAAGCTGCCACCATGTTCTATTTCTTATACAAGAATATTATTCACACATCTTGCTTCAACAAACTCTATTTTCAAACTAAAACAATGTTTACAAAAACATCTGACAACAAACATATTTAAACACATAATGAAAAGAACAGACTTAATACAACATTTATTATGTAGTTTCTAGTTATTATTGAAACAGTAGTTTTAGTTTCAAACTTCAAGAATATAGTTTATGAAGCTTTAAATGAATTAAATATTGAAATTGAAATTAAGTCACGCTTTAATTACTTATTTGCATAATTGACAGGAACACATGTCAATCAGTATTAGAATTTTTACTTTATTTAACTCTTTTTATTTTACAAAAAAAAAAAAAAATGTAAATTAACTTTAAAGATTCACATAGGTCATAACGATTAAGTCATAACGATTGAGTCAACTAAAATCAACTTATAAATCCTATTTTCTTGATCATAGGAGTGGTTTTAACACTTCTTCGGTCTTCTACCGGAAGATATATATTTACATATATTACTTTTTTCGTACAATACAGTTCTCAATGTTTGACATTTATAAAGTTATAAGATTTACATTCAGCATCCATAAAGACTCCTAATTGAACAAATGATACGTCTTATAACGTTTTTTTAACTGTTCAAACAAAAACAAGCGAATAATAAAAAGTGACAGTTGAGTTTTCCTGTGCAATTTATCGTTTTTCATATATATTATAAATTTATTTATGTCCTTTTAGGATGGCAATGCTGTTTAAAGTTTATCTTTCACAGTCCCTTCGTAATCAATTATTTCCACATTAACGTACATTTCTTATTAAATTGAGCACATGACCAAGCTTTCGAAAGATTATTTTTATGAATGGTGGCAGGTCAAAATGCAAGATATCACCGCAAGGGTGCTGGAGCGATTATAGTTACTAGAGGTCGTCCAGTGGTCGAAAAATCGCCCAAAAATATGTAATGTACAGACTTCTCTATTTTCACCCCACGCTGGAAATAAAAGTTGTGATTAGAATTTCTTCTATTTGTTTTTATTTCCTATTAGCGAATTTCCCATATAGGGAATAAGCTATTACCGTAGTACTCACGGTAAGACCTGGACCCGGGACCGATTTTTTTTCGTTTTGAGGTCCCTAGAGGCCAAAAACACCATCCGTTCAAATTCATATATATATTTATATATTTATATATGTGTCCGTTAGCGCGATAACTCGAGCAAAAATGATCCGATTTTGATGAAATTTGGTACAAATGTGTAAACCTACGTTTATTCGAACGAGTTCGCAAACCAGCATGATCGGACCATGGGAACGGGGGTTTATGGGGGCTTTTTTGGGGGTAAAAATGGGTTTTTTCCCATTTTTGACCCAAAAAACATAAAATTTTGCAATTTCTTTCTAAACTATTTTGTAGAGCTCAAAAAAACAAATTATTTAGTATATTGAAGCGTTATAATGCGCCTAATGGTTACGGAAAAAACTCCAAAAAATTGTAAATTTAAAATTCCCATGTTATTCTTATGGAGAATAAGTAAACTGTTGTAATTTGCTTGTTTATAAACATATTTTGCCCAAATTTGGAAAATGTTTTTATTTCTTGCTAACTATTAACATTTTACATAAAAAACACTTTTACCCTCCCTGTTGCAGCAAACCTAAGTATGTGTAAAACTGATTCTATTTAAATAGGGAATACATGTGATATTTTTAAGGAGACATTTTAGTGTAAATCCATTCAGGGAAATGGAAATTCGCTTAGTCTGCAGGTTTGCTGCAGCGGGGGTATTTATATTTCGTTGTTATTACGTCACCAGCATGGGAAACCATAAGGCCAACGATAATTTTTTTATATTTTAAATTCATTTTTTTGTGATTAGGCCTACTGTATTTTTGAGACTATTTTAATTTATAAAGGGATTCTGTACATCTGCAGGGAAATATCGTTCTAAAAGTATGCGTAGATTTTCCCTGCGATGTACACGAGCTGAGAAAAAAGGTTTTCAAGAAACATGCTTACCTATATAGTACTGTACAGTAAAAATAAGCGAAAAATTCCATTAACCTAAACAAAATTAGTACAAGCAGGGAATTTGGTACAGATGTTGGGTGTACCTTCCTTTTGAACATACTGTAAGTCCCCTAAAATTGAAGCCGTGCTACGGCTGCCATTTTGGAAAATGGTGGCATATTTCTGTATTTTATGCTATAGTGGCTTTATTATTAGAGATACAGGAAAGATTTAACTGTACAAAATGTAGTCCATCTAAAAATACACATTTGTGTTATTTATTATTTTTCTCTAGACCCAACGATTTTTTACTTAATTGTGATTAAGTATATTTATTTATTTATTTTGTTAAATAGTGAAAACCCATCGAAATCGACGGTTACTTTAAAGGTTTATGACAATTCATCCCATTTAGTTAAATAGTGTGATACTATAAGATCTTAAGCTTAAACTTTATTTAAGTTAATGAGTAAAATAACTCCGCTACATCAAACCTGCAGACTCAGCAAATTTACATTTGACTGATTGGATGTTTTATTAAATGTATATAAATAAAATAAGGTTTAACAAATACAGTACCTAGGTTTGCTGCTACAGGGAGTGTAAAATAGTGTGTGTTTTTTTAAATACCAATAGCTAGTTTATAAAATAAACTAATTTTCATAAGTTTGAAAAAAAATTTTTAACAAGCAAACTACAACAGTTAGGCCTACTACTTATTCATAAGAATAACATGGGGATTTTTAAATTTAAAATTATTTTCAAATTGTGGTTGTGTTTACTAAAATATGACGATTCACCGTCACGATTTGAAAACTAACCGAAGTGGTTTTCAAAAGGAGATGGAACAAGTTATTTAAGTAATATTAACTCGTGCCAAGTACCGGAACTTTTGTATGCAGTGAGGCTAATCAACCACATTTTGTGAAGTACGCAATAGTCATATTAATATTTAATCCTCGTTTTGTATCCATTAAATAAAGTTACATTTTAATATTTTGATGGTATTAACACACTAACTAACACAGGTAGGCTTGACATCCCATTGTGAATTTGGAAAGTCGTTTTTCGTGTCTAGTTCATGTTGGTCCCACTGAACGCTAGTGACAAACAAATTTTGTTTCTATTATTTTAGGGGTAATTTTGTGGTTTTTACTTTACTGTTTGGTTATATATTACTAGGGGACAAGCTATTGTTTACGATTAGATAGTTTTATTTGGTTTAACGAGGTTTTCAATGACTAAAATAACTAGAAACAAATTGTAAACAAAACACGACCTCTACAGTGCACCGGACAGAACTAACAACAAAACTCTTCGGCTGATCCGTAAGGATGAGAAATCTATGGGAGAATATTTAATCCATGATATCACTCTGTTTAACGGAGTGGGATAAATAATTGTCGTAAACCTTGAAAGTAACCATCGATTTCGATGGGTTTGACAGATTTTTATAAAAAAAATCTAACCATACTTAATTACAAATAACACAAACCGTTGGGTTTAGAGAAAAATGATGGATACCAAAACTGTGTATTTTTAGACGGACCACATTTTTTATACCTAGCTTATTCATGTATCTCTATTAATAAAGCTACTATAGCCAAAAATACAGAAATGTGCCGTCATTTTTTAATATGGCGGCCGTAGCACAGCTTCAATTTTAGGGAACTTTGAGTATGTTCAAAAGGAAGGTACACCCAGCATCTGTACCAAATTCATAAATAAATAAAAATAAATAAATAAATATATCTTTATTGTCACATAAACGTTTTACAGATTATATAGCATAAGCTACAAAAACAGGTGACATTGTCAATATAATCATATATCATAATAAGTACCTAAAATACTAAAAAATAAACAATGATTCTTACAAATAATTATTTGGGCTATTTTATAAAACATAATATTTGCTAATTTAAAAAATTCCTTGCTTGTACTAATATTTTTGGGTCAAAACATATTTTTATTGTACTAATATATAGGATGGCATAAATTACTGGCTTAAATGTCATAACTTGTGAATAGGCAATTCGTCATTACAATAATTTAACAATTAAAATATTGAACATACTTTCAAATATAAATAACAAGTTAAGACCTCCGTAAGCTAAGGAAAGGTGTTAAAGCTATGAATGTAATGGTAAAGAGATAATAAATATATTTTCCTCCATGGTAAATCCGTCAATAAATTGGTCTAAAGACTCAGAAATCTCTTTCCAAAGTCAAGGGAGTATGTAGTTGTGACTCGACCGTAACGTTTTAACGGGTGATAAGTTGTGCAATGACCCCCTGGAACTATCTTTGGACTTGGGTCATCTTCAGCATTCCCTACTCTAGTTTTTTTTTTCAGTTTACTTGTGCACTTGGTGCTGGAAAAGAAAATGTTATTGCTTCAGAAAAATTGGGTAACGTACAGAAAGAGGGAGAGGTTGAAGAGAAGCAAAAGGTCCACAGTCCTTGAAGCAAGATGCTAGATGTTGAATGATTTTAAATAAATTATTAAAAGACAATTTATTTATAACTAATTATCACACCAAAGGTAGTAGGGTTATATTGATGGCAAACTAGAGGGATTGGAGAATAAAATATCACACGGGTAAGGTAAGATCGGGATCAGAATCAAATTATTGGAAATTGTAAGTTGAAGGAGAACTCAAGCAGACATAAATATACATCCTGGGCTCTCTGGGAACAGATGAAAACACCTCATTTCATTCAAAATATCCACCTTTCCTTTGTTTGGTTTGCTTGTAAGTGTAAACGATTTTCTATTGTTTTTTGTGTAAAATAAATAGCTTATTTTAGGACATAGGCCTACTTTGTATTTTTATCATTGATATAATAACATTAATGAAGTGTAAGTTAAAATAATTACAAAAAAACATAAAAAAGATCGTAAAAAAGAGTTATACGATGAGATAATGTTATAAAACACCGCTTTCTTTGATCGAACAAAGTAAAGTGCCAAAGTGCCCATAATTAATGCAATAGAATGGCCTTTAATGTAATTGAAATTGAAACCATATTACATAAGTAAGATCTTATTCTCAAAAAGCGAGTGAAATCACACTTTTGCTGAGATTAATATTTAACGACAAAAATTTTCTTGAAAAAGTTGGCATGAGTATATTGGCCACCATTCATCATAAATAACCTCGTAACGACTACATTATTAGCGAATTTCCCTATAGGGAAGTAGCTATTACCGTAGGTGGCACGGTAAGACCTAGACCCGGGACCGATTTACTTTTTCATTTTGATGTCCCCAGAGGCCAAAAACACTATTCGTTCAAATTTTTATATATGTATATATATATATATATATAGACTTATATATATATATATATATACGTCCGTGAACGCGATAACTTGAGTAATTTTTGTCCGATTTTGATGAAATTTGGTTTAAAGGTGTAAAGCGGGATAAACTTGAATGAGTTCGCGAACCAGCACGATCGGACCATGGGAACGGGGCTTTACGGGGGGTTTTATGGGGTAAAAATTGGTTTTTCTCACTTTTGACCCTCAAAACACAAAATTTCCCAATTTCTCTTTAGACCTTTTTAAAGAGCTTAAAAAAACAAATAATTTAGTATATAAAAGTATTTTTGTTCGAATATTAGTAACGGAGAAAATTAAAAAAATTGTAAATTTAAAATTCCCATGTTATTCTTATGGAGAAAATTGTCAAATGTTGTAGTTTGCTTGTTTATGAATATATTTTGATCAAACTTGGCAAATTTATTTATTTTGTACTAAGCTATCAATATTTTACTCAAAAACACACTTTATTAGTTTCCTTGTAGCAGCAAACATAGGTACTCGTTAAACCTAATGTTATTAAAATATATTTAACTGAAAATCAATTCAGACAAATGGAAATTCGCTTAGTCGGCAGGTTTGCTGCGGCGGGGGTATTTATTTCTTTATTCTAAATTTGACTGAAGTTTATAAAGCATAAATCGTAATACAATTACTGTCCTCTAATGAACAAAATATTTTTACAATACTACTGTTTCCCCTACAATATTTTATATTACTGCAACAACATATTTCGTGGAAATTCTAGTTAAAAAAAGGTAGTGGCGTGGCATCACCCCACTCGACTCCAAACAAATATTTTTTCAGGTATACAGATGCGTCGCCACATGACACCACAATTGGCCGCAGCGACCAAACTGCTTTGTGCTTGTGGATGCGACCGTGAAGCGAAACTAACCCGAGTGCATCTCGTAGACTCAGCGCCGCGAGGGGGGTGATGGGGAGATGAGGAGCTTGTGGAGGGGGTGGGGCGTTCGGAGAGACGGACAGTCGAGTGCGGTCCTCCGAAGTGCCAACATCGTCCGAACGTCCAGTGGGAGTGTACGAAGTCGCGATCGAAAAACCGGTTCCGAAAAATTGTCGAAGTGTGTACGATTCCTCAGTGTATTTTCAGTGACGTGATGGCTACGAGCGCAGGTGTTGGGAAGGGTACCTAGGAGTTGACTGATGTCGGAGACTAAGATGAAGGAGTGCGGCAGGGCGACGCACGCTTGGCTCGCCAGCCTGTGTATAGTGTCCGTGGTGGTCTCTGGGTACGTGCTGTACAAGCAGTCCCTACTGGAGTCCCGGCTGGATGCTCTGGAGAGACAGAACCAGGTCCCTGGGGAACTCCTGGTGGAGAGGCTCCGGCGAGAGGTCGGCAGGAAGTACTCGCAGCATACGCGGGTGGTGAGGGACACTAGCGACTGTTCATGTCCAGGTAAATACTTTTTATTAATTAACATACTACACCTACAATGAGGATATCACATGAGGGATATCAAGTTTCAATACTAGATGTTCTGAAGCCAAATGTCGGTACTTCATCAACTGTAGATTTTTTCCGTTACCATATTTAAGTTACATAATACCTTCATAAAAATCTTAAAGTAAAAATAAATATAGGCAGGTTTGTATAGATTGACGTTTTAGAAAGCTTAAAGTAGAGATCTATTTAGACGGAAAATTGGTTCCTGTAGACAACTACTGTAACGATAAGTATCAATTGACAATACACATACTACATTAAGGACAATTTAAGAGCAATATGAACATCATGATTGAAGCAGTCCTGTGTGTACTCACGACCTCAGATTATAATACTCTAGGGTGGCTACAACTAGACTTATCTAGAAACACATGGGTGACAAGAGATAATACATTGAATGCAAATCGAAAATGTTATGATAAAAATAGTGGAGGTGATTCAGGGAATAGCAAAAAAAATTTTTTAAATAGTTATTTTGATGACTACATAAGTTACAATTCTTATAATCACACCTTTTACATAGAACCGCATATGCTAACTAGAACATCTCGAAAAAAGATTAATATGAAACATTAGTATTCCTGTTGATATTACAGCACAAAACCGTTGGATATAAAATTACATAAAAAGTAAAACAACTTCAAACAAGTTTTAAACTCTGTCCTTAACAAAATAGCTATCGCAAAGGTTAGTTGAATTCATCATTGAATTTTCCTTCTAAAGATGTCACCGATAAAACATGAAACAATATTTTTAACTGATTTCATTAAAGGGTTAACAATTTATTTGAAGCACCGAAGGTTTTATTTCACAAATCCCAAGTAACCATCGCAACACAAGTTAACTAATTAATAAAAGCAATGTTTAACATTCAATGGATTGCTGAATTTTCGCTAACAAGTTGTAAATACCTACCTCGTTATATTTCAATTAATAACATTTACAGAAGCTCACTTTATCAAGTTACCCAGCTTTGAGCATTGTAAATGGTTTCTAGGAATTAAGCTTGTTTAGTATGCTTTATGCTGTTACTAATTTTTATCCTAAGTGAAAAACAATTAAATACGAATGAAAGTTAACTATAAGTATTGATAGTTTAAACTGAGCGTTCTTATTTTGCTTATAACTATCAAGCTTTTAAAATATTAATTCAGTTATAATTTATAAATTTATTTCAAAACTAATATTTAAGTTGTACTTATATACTCGTTTTAGTCCATCCTTCTATTGCGTCGTTGAGTGGTTTGTAAATCTTTTGTGGTTTTTGTTTCTTTTACTACCTTCCTTTTTTCTGTAAAATCGGTCTTTCATGTTTATCATTAAGGTGTGAGCTATATTATATATTTACGAAAAGGATATAAAGAATTCTTCATTTGGCCTAAGTGATCAACGCGTACCAAGATTATAACTGCATAAAAAAATATTTAACTAAATAAATCAAATCAAATAAACGATCTAATATACCATAACATTAGGTACCGAAGATAAGGAAAATATTTAGCACAACAAATTTATATTTATCTCGAAAACATAAAATAAATGTTATCTTTTAGTAATGAGCCTTAATTAAAGGGTGTAGCCTACTTGAAACAAAATTATTCTCTTGTTCAAGTGACACTAGGATCCGGGTTTCAGAGGTGTTAACATGATTCATGCTACTTATCTTCCTCTTCATAAATTGCGTTTCCTATTCAGTGTGCCGAGTTTAGATGTTGTGAGTGTATTTACCGACCACCCCCAGTAGTTTGAGAATAGAAATGTAGCTAAATAGGTCAATTTTCTAATTATTACTGCCAGCTATGTATATTATATTCGGCGATTTTCTAGATGTTCTTTAACTTAACGTTTTATAATGTAAGTACTGTAAATTTAAAGTGCATGAACTAAGTTTCTGTTTTAAAAAAGTAGTCTATATTTATTTTCAACGTTTGATGTAATTTGAAACCTTTACTCCAATTATTAAGGTTGTACGGTAGCCAACCTTAATAGTGTGAAATCTATACAGTTAACAGTGTGATAAAAAAAATGAAATAACTAAATGGTTTGTTTTAATGAGCTGCCGTGGTAGATTCTCGTCAAAATGACCAATTACTTTGCAATTGTAAATACTAAATCCCACTGAAAGTATCATTTATTACATTAAACTTCTGAATACATATTTTTCTTAAAATCAAGAATTTACCTGCAGGGTAGAATGAATCTCTGTAAAAATTTCAATTCAGTTTCCCATAGGCGACTATGTTTCTTAATCCCTGAGGGCTTATATGAACATCAAGTATTTAATTTAGCCTTGAAAATAGCGAACATTTTCCTTCGTTTAAACCAGAGACTAAGCTCCTTAGTCTATGGTTTAAACATAAAAACGAATCTATAGATCTGAAGTTGACCGAAAATGTCAACACAGGTGTTTTAAAAACACGCCGGTGGAATTAAAATACTGTTAAATTCCTTCTTTTACCTACGACCGTTTTTTAAAGTAGCCATTTCAGTTCAGTTCTTAGAATTGAAAAGTTTCACTTAATAGCTGTTTACTTTCATAACGGCATAGTTTCATTTCATAACAGCATAGTTTTTCTCATAACAACACAGGTAACGGACCAATGAGGTTCAAGGATTGAGAGAAAATAAGTAAAATAGTAATGTTTCGAACGTCAACTAATCAGCTGATCAGCTGATCAGTTGGCAATTTCAATTGTTGATCCGACTTGTTCCTGTTGATACTCGCGTATTCTTAACCTAAGTTAGTGGAAGTTAAAGGAAGGTAGATTAAACTGATTTTAAATGTCAGTTAGTGAAAGCGAAGTTGACGAGATGGAAGTGAGAGCACAAACTGTTTGTGCTAATCGTTTGTCACCAAAATCGAAACAAAGGTATGAAATTACATACCAGTAATTCATTAAATGGATGAAACAAAATAAGGTTAAACTTATAAATGAAAATACGCTCTGGTTTATTTTGAAACACTCTTAACCAATTTTTCACCTAACTCGTTGTGGACCACATATTCGATGCTGAAATCTAACTGTAAATTAACTGTTTCACTATATTATTCAGTCGTCCAAAATAATATGCAATATTTCCCTAATTGTACCTGATATTTATGGTAAGAATGCTGCTAGCAGAACCTATTCACTGAAAAAGGTAACGTAGGTATTATTTAACGAAGTTTTACAAACACGTAATTACATGAAATCAGCTGATTAAACAAAAAGTCGTTGCATCACTTTCAGTGGCAATGACAATAAACGAAAACATAACCTCTCTAAAGAAGTTATGAGTAGTGATTGTTAGTAATTAAAAACCAGATTGTTAGTAATTAAAAAACGGTCGTAGGTAAAGTAGTGTACGCAACTCGCGTTAATAGTATCGTACGACGATAAGTTAGGCTCGTGCCTTAAATTTTCTACTAGTGTCGTAAAGACTCCTTAACGCAATCGTTGCGTAAACTACTATAAGAATACACATCGCCTCCTGAATTTCATCTTTTCAATTAATTTACCAACCACTTGAATAAATAAGTAAAATATGTGCAACAGCGAAACATTCCAATATTAAATTAAATTGAAAAAAAAAACGTGATTGTTTTGAAAGACAATATAATATATAATACTTACAACCCCCTTCTAATATGAAGAAAGGTACCACCAGTACCAGACAGTCCCCCCTCCCTTCAACAACACAGCACCCCCCACAGTCGCATTACTTTCACACACTGCTTGTTTATTAATGCGTCTATTTACAGCCTATTTGTTCGTCTTTGAAGTATTTTCTCGTTTCCTACTGTAGTTTCACGCACGGTTGGCGGTCCATTTGAGCGAGAGATTGTAGACTCCTTTGAAGAGAGCGGACAGTAATGGCGTTTTGAAAACAGTAAAATCTAAATGTAGTGACCATTGAAAATCGCAAGCTTTTCCTCTTTTGTGAAGTTTCTGAGGTTAAGTTTGTTTATCGTGGTTGTTTTAGAACTTTTACAAGTAGCCTACATTTTGAAAGAGAAATAATGGTCACAAAGTTTAGGTTACTTTTAATGATAATGTGGTAAAAAAAACATAATCAGCCTCAAAACCAATGCTGTTCAGTATCATAGATGGATAAATGGTATAGAAATATTATTTGCGTTGATTATAATTTTAATGAATACTCCACCAACCTTCCCCAGTATAAAACAACATATAATTCTTGAGGAATTACACAAAATTCTCGACGTGTATTGCCCTTACCCCTTCTCTAACAAATCGTAATAGGCCTACTTACCCAGAGTTCACTAATACATTTTAAACCAATGGAACTCCTATCAATAGAACTTTATTTAAACAATATAATATTTCTACTTCTTTTAGCATTTATTATCACACTCATATTCATCGCATCAACAAAATTTACAATATTTTACATACAAAAAATAAACCCAAAATTACAACTGACACAGTTTTTTTCTAAAATTGTCACTGAATTTTCATGGTGAAGTGTCGATGTGTGGACATGTTTACTTTAAAAGGCTGCGAGTGCCCTAAAAGCACTTTGTGGAAGATGCAATGTCAATCTGTACTCTGGTCCATTAGTTGACATAAACGTTCGTGTCCAATCCCCTGACACTGCAGTGTAAAAAGCATGAATCTAGTATTAAAAGTGCCAGTATGCAGTATGGTGGTTGTTGAAAAAAAAAATGCAATAATTAAGTTTTATGGCGAGAGTGCTTCAATAAATTTATAGCAAAATGGACTTCACACAGTAAACATATACATATTTATTAGGTTTAAACACATAATGATTGTAATGGGCATATCGACCAATGCGTTTTAGACACAAACAAATAATGCATTGATATTTTACTGCGGTTCATGCAACAGAGAAAAGATTCCTATTTATCACAATGTTTAGTTCATAATAAATTATAAACTATTAAAAACAGCTTTAGTGTTACTCTGAATCTAGGTAAATTATCACAGGAT